GATGTCATAGTGGTTTCTATCTGAAAGACGCAAATTTTCTCCTACAAAGGAGAACGTGTCACGATGCGCGAATTCCCATAGTGAACAGAATAAGTGACTGACAAAATAACTCATTTGTCGATAAGCTAACCGACTGGAACACGTTTAACACGAATGAGCGTTTTCAGTATGCTCACGTGACATTTAGTGGATTGTGCATTCCAGCTACTCAAACATGAGCAACTTACCATATAATTGTAATATGCAAGAGTTTAAGTTTTCCTGCATTAATGGTGACCAGATTCGTTGTTCCACGTTAGTGTGATATTGCAACCGATTCGCGCTCTCAGCAGAAGCGACGTGTCCAACGGTTACAGTGAACGGTCAAACCTGATCTGAAGGTCACACATCTTACCATACTTTAATCCATCCAGAGAAATTCCTTAAGTAGCTACCACCACCTTCTTGTTTTACATGAGGTGAAACTTTCGTATCAGTCCTAAAAAGGAAAAAATACTCGCTAATAGCTGTAATTTTGAAAGCATCCCATGTTTTAGTAGCTGATCACCGAGTTTGGCCTGCTGTATGGGAATGTAAAAGAGCGTGACCTTTCAAAAGCAGCATTAGACCTCGATTACTGCTGACGTTATTGCTACTTTGCTCCAGATATACTTGAAAATTGGCGACAGCTGATGTGCTTTCGACGTGTACATTAACAGGCGAGCACGGGATTGACTGAAAGAATCATTTTTTATTTACTAGCAAGGACGATACGATAAAATCTTCATGGAAGTAATTAAGCTACGGCAGCTAATGACCTTGACTACTGTCTTGTCGTACAGTGGTTATAGTCACAGTTTCGTCCCCCGATAGTGTGGGGACATGAGGTATGGGGTTGCTCGCTGGATGTGGAGCTGATCTAATTGATTCGTAGATAGAGTTGTTAGTGGACTTTAATTTGGGGAGATCGGGAGGGGCGTTATGCAATGAAGACAATAGCTTGGATCCACGAGCGCCATTTAGGGCGCAACTAGACCGTATCTGACGGTGTCTCCAACCATTGATGTGTCCTTTCTCGCGGGCCAACACATGGAGATGTCAATGACCAGCGCAGCTGAGTCTGTTACCATGGCACTATTTGCCCCCTGACTCGTTTTCATCCTTTGTGTGGTTCTGCAAGAAGAACCCATCGAAGAATTCAGTCGACTGGCATACAGAGCACGTGACCAAGCCAGTGCAACCTATGGAGGTTGATGAGTTCATATACTGTAGGTGAGTTAGTTCTTCCTAAAATCATTCGACGTACTTCATTATTATGTATCCAGTGTTCCCACCAGACCAGGCCAATGCTCCAAAGACATCAGTGGTCAAACACTGAAAGTTTTGACGTCCTCAGAGCACAACGGCCAGGTTTATGATCCATATAATAGTATGGAGCGCACCGCAGCATTGTAAACTCGACCCCCGACGGATAGGTGGATGTCACGCCTACGCCACAGGTGACGCAGGTTCACAAAAGCTGCTCTGGCCTTCCCAATCCGGATGAAAGTATCTTTCGCGGGACAACCGGGACTGATACAGCTGTTCAGGTAAACAAATTTGCCTACTACCTCAATCGATTCATCCTCAAGTATCAGGCTGGGGTTCGAGCCTACCCAGTCTTGCAGATGCACTTTACGATTCACACCTCAACACTCTCGTGAAGGTAGTGTACAGCGCCTTAAAGAGAGTCAAGAATTTATGGGGGATATCTTTGCTCCATAGGCACTGCCATAGTGTCTGACGGTCCACAGGGTCAGAGGCAGCTTTCCTGTCAAGGAAGACAGCCACTGTTGGTCACCAGAGGCGGTGTCGCTGTTCCAGAATATGTCGGAGGGCGAAACTGTGATCACCGCACCCTCATGCTGGACGGAACTCGGCTTGGTTTCCACGGATCTGCCTCTCCCCTTGTTCGGTCAACACCCGATGTCACAGCTACGAAGCTGATGCCACGATGGTTTCCACACAGATTCCGCGTACCCTTGAAGATAGGAATAACTGTCGACATGCTCTATTCTGGAGACATTTTTTCTACTTCATATCGCACCAGGGGGCTTTGTTGATAGGGTCGTCAGGAACTCTCCATTTTACTTGAAGAGGATATACACCCTCCGGCTTTGACACGTTTTCACATTTCACTACCGGTTTTTCTACTTTAGTTGGACGGGCGACTAAGGTCTACATTCCATTCGCCAGTATGTATTATCTCCAGAGGCTGTGTTGCAATAGGCCAACTAGACTGTTCTTTGAAGTGTTTGGCACATCTTTTCAGTGGACGTTTTTGCGAGTGAACTAATGAGCCAACTTTTTCACTCCTCGCTTCACTGACCACTGCTCTATAGGACCAGTTGATCGTATCAGTTGGTATAGTGCTCGGCTGTTTCCGGTAGGCAAGGCTATCTCCATCTCCAGAGCTTTCGATGTCCAGATCTCTCGGTCTTTCCGTAGGCTCTTCACTATTTGGCGTTTGAGGGATTTGTTCGCGCCATCGTACTTGTTGCCCGCTAGTATCGATTTCATGGCATCAGTCGTGGGTAGTGATCTCGATGACATTCTGTGTTCTTTTAGTCGAATCGGAGAAGTCGGACAGACAGCAATGGACGCCGCTAACATAGCTCTTTTTCACATTTTGCCATGCTTTATTCACTTGTCCGCTACCAGTACACTATTGGTTTCCTGAAGAGAGTTGTTGAGTTAGTTCAAATTGATGCCATTTGGCCATGGTCGTCCTTCGAAGATGGTGGATTGGCATGCTTCTTGCTGACTTGTGACGGTCTGAAGGGAAACAGTTTGTCGGGCGTGCACGCACCAAGGCTATGGGACACTGACAGTGCTGTTGCCTTCAGTGAGATTAACGCTGGCATACTACGATGACAGTAAGTTGCTAGCAGATACAGCACAAAGACAATGATCGTCACTGTCACTGACAACATTAGTGTTAAACGAGCCCAGCTGAGTGAATCAGCCTAACAGAACAGTCCATTTTGGCTCATTCAACCTCACCCGGACATAATTCGTACATATGATTGAACATGAGCTTGGCAATAACATATCAGTCAGAGAATTACTGCCGTTTTTTATTGATGATCAAAGGGTGCTTATGTAGAAATTGTTTCCTGTTGTGAATTAGTTTTTGTTTTCTTCATTGTTCCTTGTTTGAAGTTTCTGTCCTCTCAAGTGGAGACCGGTGAGATCATTATTGTAGGTGACAATGAAGCTACGCATGTCAGGCTGCTCGTTGTAGGCTCTCCTTCCCTTTATTCTTCCACATCAAGGCTTTCAAATAAACTACGTTTGCAGTAGAGTATCAATTCTGAGCACTGGTGCTCTGTCATAGGCGATGGTAATTGTGGGGCTCACAGTTTTACTGTATTTAGGCAACCCTCATTATTCTTAAAACCTATTTTATTCTGTGGTATGGTTGTTACTGGAAGGAAGCTGTCGTGTGGCATTGAATGGAACTTAAACCCACCCTACTCTATTCTCCGGATTAGTTACCATCAGAACTAAAACAATATTTTCAGGACTGACCACATCTCAGCTGGTTGTAACGTCTTATCTCCAAGTTCACGCTCTGACCTTGATTAGGTCTTGGTGAAAAGCTATGAAGAGTTGTGTCACTTGTAATGAGTAAGAGGATTTCCAAAATATTTAAAAAATGAAGTTTCACAATGAGTGTGCGGGTACTTTCTGTGTAAATGATACTACCCCTACTTCAAATTACTGTACATTATAGAACGTTCGTGCACATCGCTGGTGTTCCGACAGCGGTCCTTGATTTGAGGCATTGGCAGGACTGTTCGTTTGGGTTCCATTCCTGTGCCACTCAGAGCTATCAAACTCAGCTCCGATCACCGTTGGGGACGGTGATTTACAGAAAGTTTTCGATGTATCAGTGGCAAAGTAGTGTTTAGTTGCCATGTTCTACAAAGCCCTAGTGGCTGATCAGAAGAATGGATTCAGCCCCCCCCCATAAAAATGAATGAAACTACTGTGATCACGCCTGATTATTTGCTTCATTGCTTCACATTTCATTCCAGACCGCTTGCTTTACTTTTAGATGACTATCTCCTGAGACAGGATTAGTCGGCTTCAGAAGTGTCTTGACTATACGCTATCCAGATCTTGATAAATTGCAGCTCAGTTTTAGATTTAGTGAGAACCTCTGCGGACTGCTCTATATCACTCTCAGCCAGGTTTCTAGGCATTCTCCGAGGTGACAATTTGGAAATTTGGTTTTGCTGAAACAGCGTTACTTCAGCAAGTATAACTGAGAAACTGCAGCCATTTGTAGGGGACTCCAAGAAAACTATGAATTCACTTTTTTGACAGCGAACTAACCTGGATACTATGTTATTTATCCGCACATCTCTCGTGGTCCAAGTCCGTTGGGTACTTCCGTTGCTTCACTGTTCGTGACGTTACCATGACCTTTCCATCATTATGAATCGCAGTTCCTAGACGTTCCTCACAATGCCCTCGTGGTTTCAAGAATTTCAGCAATGTTTTGTTAGGACTTCATCAAGCTTTGAACTAAAACGATAGCCTGAATTTCGAGGGTTAAGAACTTCGTTTCCCCATGATGGGATCGTTCGCTACCCTGAACAAATACAACTGGGTCAATGAGCAACCACTTGGTCATTTTTTGAAGTTTTGAATTGGCTGGAATAAAAGACCTACCACCAGACTCATAAGTGGCCTAAACAATCATGATTTGCCACAATACACAAGGGTGTTGTGACTGCACCAATCTGCACGGTCAAGTATGATACTCATTAAGCAGACCCAGTAATATGCACTAGCTTTAAACAATTGAGACCACGTGTTGTTATTGGGTGCATCCTAATCTTGGTTGAAATGACGAAACGTTTTCTGTCCGCTTTGTATTCGGCCCATTAACCCCTCTGGCGGCAATGGTGAGGAGAGGCTGTATGGTTAATTGTAATCAAACGTTGATTTACACATGTACACGGACAACTTAGATGATCGAATGTTTTTCGGTTCATCCAGCATCCAAACACGGGCGGGCGGAGATCGCGGCTTACTTGCTGCTCCTATCTGCCAATATCAACGCTACTGATGATGAGGGTAACACTGCTCTCCATTTGGCCGCAAGAGCTGGTAAGTACCTTGTTCCTAGCGCATGTGGAGTGTATGCATGTCCCGCTTTGTGCAATGTGAGCCACTTAACCGGGTGAATTGAACATTTTGGCACATATTCCTTTGAGAATGAGCCACGTGTTTTTGGGGATCCGTGGTTGAAACAAATGTCCAAGGTGTATTTTGTCAAAAGTACTCTGTCAATGAAAAGACAGCTCTAGGTGCGAAATATTTTCCTCGATCTCCAGGTCTCCCTTAAAATGAAGGCCACAAAAATGATTGGCGGAATCGTTGCAGTTGCAAAAAAGCGATTGCAGATGGCCGGATTTAAATCACACGATCTTAAAAGCACGTACATCTTCAGACAGTCGGACTTATATACACCTGCCCAGAATAGCAGTCTAGATAGTTTCTCTCACGTTCCCTCTAGGATAAAATACGCGGGTCTTGAAATTTGTTTATGTTTACGGATTGTCGTACAGGTTAGTCCGATTATCACACGGAAGAGCTCATAACAGATAGGATGTGGAGGGCGCGAAATGTTTGGGTATGGTTGTTGCAATCCAGCCACAAAAATGGGTTGCCTCTGACCACTCTGCTTCTGGAATAAGGAAGTGCAAGGCTGCCAACCGACGTCGATGGCGTTGATGGGGTAGGTTGTGTCCTGACCGTTTGGAGCTATAGACACCTCATAGTGGTGATTGTTGTATGCTTTCACCGAGTCTATTACTTTCTTCCATCCTAAAAACCTTCTATAATAAACTTTGTGGTTCTATGCCAATGAGGCAATAGCGTCAGTGCAGGTGCTGATTCTGACGATGATGCCAATGCTGTGGTTACCCATTTAGGCGAAAGAAAGATCTATGTTGTGCACTTAACATACGCAAATGTGACCATTTATTGGAGGCACACATGTCCTGAAACACATTCTTGGGTTTGCGGTGGGCGTGCTTCTTCTTTACACTTATTGTTGGTGCTTGAAGCGACCATACCTTTGTTGGCTCAGTTGGTAGTTGCAATTGTCCTAAGGCTGTACCTTTCATTACCCTTCTGAAGAAATGATCTTAGTATTGATTGCAAGCAAAAAGTTATCCCTTCCACAATCTGTCATCAACCTCTTGAATGGATTTTATATTCAGAATCTTTGTGCCTTACTATAGGCCCCTCGTCATAGTCAAATGTGCATTCGTGTTGGTATTTGTACGTTTTGGAAGTCTCCCAGTACTTTCTCTCCCTAGGACATCTGTGAGCCTCTAAACGGACAGCCTACATGTATTGACCGAAAGTTGTTTCATCTGAAACTTTGTCTTCTTTGTGTGCTTTGGTACAGTAAAGGGAGAAGTTAACAGACCAACCAAAATTCGATTTTCCTGAGGATAGTCCATCTAGGGAAGGGATAATCGTGGTTACCGACTGCAAACGGTTGTTCCTTGCTAACTCTTTTGTTGTTACGGTGGCCAAATGCCAGCTTTGAGATGGCCTGCTCGATAAAGCGTAGTAACGCAAATTCTGAGAAGAATGTCCGTGACGCCATAATTTCTTTTGTGATAATGTACATCTACATAACGTACATGTCCAAAGACTCATGCGCCCTCTGTATCCCGAGGGCAATACCATTGATCTAAACAAATAATCCGAGGGAAAGTCAGACAAAAATACTGGGGGCGTTATATTCAGATCAGCAACATAAACATTCTCGACATTATTCATCCAGTTGTAGGAACCCCCGTAGTGTCATTGGCCTCAAAACAATGATTCGGTTGTTCTTTGTGGGTGGGCTTTCCATCACAAAGGCATGCGGCGAACTTGGAGACTTTCATGAATTCGGTTATTTTTATAAGTTTTGTAAACTTCAGGCTGTGTATTATAGAAGTGGTAAAACGTGTATACCTTGCCTAGTAATCGATATTTTCTCCAACCAGGACACACGAATCTTTGTAGTTTACTGTTATTTTTCGGAGCGAATCCGTTCAATACCCGCAACAACAGACAGCAAACTCCACTTCATCTTGCCTGCGACGCCGGACGCTTCACAGTTGTCCGTCAGTTTTCTCGTGCACTGCCAAACAGAAATGCAGTCATAGACAACAGGATGGCTTCAAAAACCATTGAGGAAGAGTTCGCACATGCCCTACAGCAATATGACCATGAAGGACAATCACCGGTTCAGGTGGCCAAAAAAAATGGATGGTACGAAATCTTAGAGTTTCTTGAGACGAAAACGTCTCTGTACTATTCAAGAAGACAGTCGCCGTGGGACTCAAGACATATACGTTTAACTCTCAAGTAAGACTTTTCATGAATCTAGTTGATTTCTTATTGAAAACACTCAAAAGTGAAATTGAGATCATGTGCATAAATTACGGTAAAGTTTTGCATTAAATCAGACAGTCACAGAACGATTAACTATGTCATGCGGTCAGTAGTTTGCGTTAGTCATCAACATCATCATTATCAACTGTAATAACCACCTACCTGTCGCACAGTGGTTGTAGCTCCCACAGTTCCGTTTACCGGTGATTCGGGGAGGTAGGGTAGGTAGCTGGGCATTAGCATTCTTGATCCATTGATACCCCTCCTCGCAAATTCCACATAACTTGAATTAGGCATAAACGATAACATTTGCCACCTGACGTGACCCTCACCTTCGCTGTTCTTGAGAATTACACAGTGCATCTAGTACTGCAATTTATGATAGTGATAATTGTGATGACAGTGGTGATCACCTTCTGCGGTAAACTTCTTGTATGTCTTGAGGATGAGTGACCATAACTAGTTGCAATGGAATAACAACTCGTAGTTCCCACGAGACAGTCGGACACAAGTATCTTGGACCTGAATCCAACTGATATGAAGTTACTGTGTAGCCACTAGTAGGTGTCACGTACTGTATCATGTGAAACAGACAACAGTAACTGTTATACTGGTTCCCTGGAGGTGATTTACTTGCTTAGCTCACTGGTTAGAACTCGAATTTACTGACCGGAAGGTCTGGGGTTCGAACCCGACCTCTGCCTCTCGATTTCTCCTGTCAGGGCTTGGGCAATCTGGAAGTACCCAGCTCTCGTCCTTCCTTCTGGTGGCATGGTAGCTAAACACCGAAAGAGTATTAGAGCTGAACGATTTATCTTTTGTCAAAATTTCCTTCGGCTGTCTTCCGAGATAGAACACATGTGTTTAAGAAGCTTTTTATGTTGCTGTTATCCAGTTGATGCGACTGACGGTCAGATCAATACTGCGACACAATGCTTTTTTATTGAAGAATACCATAGACCGATTGTAAGCCAAGATTTTTCATGCCATGCTTGTTGATACTCATCCCAGTTTTCAAGTGTCCATTCTAAAGCATCATTTTCGCCAGGATTTAAGACCAGATTCACCAAAATAAAACTGCTACTTTTACGCAGTCGCGTTCATTGGTGAAACTGAGACAATTATTACCGACTGTTGGGAGGCTTTTCCCGTTAACTCTTACCGTATTTTGCCTTTTTGTTTCACTACCTACACATGCGTACCCGCGCATAGGGGTTTGATCATTGAGGTATCCTAAAAGAACGTTTTTAATCTGACAATTGTAGTTTGTGTACCTGATTGCTCTTACAATTGAAGACTCAGAACAAAGTGACAGTAACTGCATTTTATGGCCGTTACACATGTCTCACAATCTGGGTTCTGTTTCAGAACTTTCATTCTTGGAAAACCTGGACGTCGACGCCTCGGTGTAATCTTCATCGTTGTTGCGATACTATGCTTTATATATCCATTTTATTGGGTCCAAGTAAGAATCATTGGCGTTTTGTTGATAGTTCTATATAAAAACTCTAAAACTGATGCAAATTAACACTTACTTTGGTCAAGGATGATTGATGATAATTGAATTCACATCATTTCTGCCTAAGGCCTACGCACTATGTCACCCATCGAGGTTCTACCGTTGAGTAGGAGCGAGAGGAAGACAATGCTTGCTACTCACTCATCAGACGTGCAAGACAAATCGCACTTGGTGGAGTCCATAGTAGGCGTCTGTAAAATAAATGGTAAGAATACTAATAATAGTAATAATCGTCGTCATTTGTATTCTCTGTGGAGAACTCAAACCAGTTTGGTTTTTAATTTTTTCACCACTTGCAGCAAGTTTTCGCTTACCAAACAAGCTTCCTTCCTGGGAGAAGTGATGTTCAATGGGATATGAAGCTTTCAATGAAAGCCATCAGATGACTGAGATATGGTCATGGAAAAAACATTACATCGGAGTAAAAGGGGAACCTCCGTGATGTTTCATAGCACATGGTTTTTATTGCTGAGCAGATTTCCATATCTAGGCGTATATCTATGCATTCTGATGGTGTACGGATTCACATAAATAGAAGATATCCACAGTGGGTGTGCGTTTATAAGCGTTCTCCATCGGTAGCACATGGCCTGTAGAAATTGGCTTGTGAGTCATGCAGAAAACAGGAATTTTTCTTTTAATAAGACGTATTTGCCAATAGTGGTAGACTACGAAGAAATGAGGCGATTCAACTCATACCTTTTGCCTGCTATTTACACCCAGAAAACAAAAATACATTAACAATTCCTTCGTTTTACATGGTACAGAAAATGAAACTTAGGGTTAAAAAATAACCTGAGTAATAGGATAGTTAACTTATCAGAAAAATATCAGAGGCGAATGGAGAAATTCCAGAGAATATTTTTTTCTGCGCGCGCATAATTCATCAATCACTTAATATTAATGGACGGAAGGCGGGAAATGGCAATATAAAAAGAGAATCACAATTTGCTGAAGTATTTTAAAATATTCCATCATCAGAAATGCGAAGTTAAAGTCTGGCCATGATCCGCTACATGAATAAAGAATCTAAATTTGTTTATTCTGTTTGATACATACCGTGCTGGTATGATTTTAATATGAATCAAATTTATACTGTCGTTACCTTTTTCATTGATGAAACGCGGATTTTTCATTGACTTATTTCTTGAGCACAAGAATTATAAAATACATTCTGGAAATCATAAAGGATTAACTTATACACATTGAACTAAAAATATGATTCCGGTTGATCAACAATCGCCCTGTTTTCAGAACATATACATGGGAATAATTATGTTTAAGCATTTTTTATATCTTATCTCAAAGACGAACTAAATAAGCTAAAAACTCTTGTAATATCACAGGTAGTCTGTTCATGGTCTTGAAGATGAAGGGACGATAAAAGCCAAAGGTGCAAATCGCAGAGACAACGCGGATAGGAATGATGAATTTACCTTGGTTACTATTGAGCTCGAGGACTTGAGGAAATTGATCTAGGGTTATACTGTATGGACCGAGCAAATGAAAAATCACGGTTAAAATTGTGGTCGATTAAGTGTTTAAACGAGACAAGAAGTACGTATGAATGGATTCTCTTGTTATGTGAAAAGCCTGCAAGTCATAAAGTGTAAAACTAGTATCGCCATGAAAAGTCAGTTGATTTAGCTGATAAGCATGATTTACCGGTGGGTTTTCCCTTTGCTTAAACTTTCCTGGGATACTGTCGGCCCAAAGTCTACAGTTATACTTTGGTGCTAACAGTTGCTCCGGTCAGAGGGCGCTGATACTGGAATAGACATCAAACGAGTTTTGGCAGACATCATGTATTAACTTTCTCCCTGCCGGGTTGGTAGGACCAAGTTCCATAATGCCGAACTGACAATACCCTAAGAGTTCGTTAATGCCGTTATGACGGTTGCAACTGAATGCATTATTCGCTGAAACGGTCACTGAACGCTGTTGTACACACTCAAGCTAGTAGCACTTAGGGTGATTCGAAACAAAATTCAGTAAGATGTTCTGCTAAGGTCCGTCGCCAGCTGCAAACCCCCGAAGCCAACAGACCTGTATGTTTAAATTAGGATTTCTTATGCAATCGAAACTATATCCTTTCTGTGCTCTAAGTGATCTTTCCAAGCAGGGTCAATGTAGGCTTCCTTGTTATTCCATCTAAATGCACTCTGCGTTACCGATTGAGTAAACTTGACCGGGTGGCGCGATCGAATGAAACGATCAGAATGGGAAGGGGGCGCGTTCGTAGATGGCTGCGCATTGTAGACGGCAGCTGATCTAATTAATGTCTAAATGCAGGGGTGTCAGTGGATTTTTAATTGCGGAGATTGAGGAGGGGGAGTTATGCAATATCTTGGATGCACGAGCAACTGGGCCATACCTGACAATATCTCCAACCATTGATGTGTCCCGTCTCGGGGTCCCAGTCCATGAATACGGCAAAGACGAGCGTAACTGGGTTTGCTGGTAAAACGTCCCTCGTACTTTGCTTCCAAGTCATTGTTTGACCTCCCTTGGCTGGTTTCCACCCTTCGTGTGGGTGCGCAAAAATAAAGTAGAGGGTAGCGCTTTGCATGCATTTGCATACCATATTGGTTTTGACGGGACACTCACTCCAGTTTAGGACGTTCAGTTCTCTGGACTCATTTGTTCTGTTGAATGAGGACGCTGTGATATGATGCGACGCCCACGGCTTGGTTGGTACTGCGCTGTCGTGCAGCTGGGTCTAGGACCCGTGAAGATAACACTCAAACTTAGAGCATTTCGGATATCATCGGTTTGGGCTACTAAGGTGCATAATTTAACCTTGGAAAATGAACGACAGTGTCAGCTGAACTTAAGGTGATAGTCTGCTAGTGTTTTGGGTTGATGGGACAGTTTAGTCTCATTGTATTGTTTTCTCATTAACTGAATGTAAATTGTAAAATCAACTAGAAAACATATCCTCTCCGTTTCTTTGGATTTTAATCTTGTTGGGAGGGGGTGATCGCAGAAAGAAAAACTCCGCGTTTCGAAACTGTTGCCTGTATTCGTTTGGAGGGTTTCCACGGAAGAGGGCCACTGAGAAAACGAACCTCAAATTCTGAAGAAATAGCTCATTCAACAAACGCATTTCTACAAGGACAACAAAAAGTAACAGGAACTTTCGTGACTTTCCTTCTTATTTAGTTCTGACCTTGCCAGAATCCTGTGAGAACATGCCTAACCGTCAAACTTTGGTGGTAGTCTCCAGAAATACACCCAACTACGACCGACTGTGGTCAACTGGGCCGATATTTCGACAAAAAACCACTCTGTGAACGTTGTCGTTATTTGCAGACTTCAATTAACATTGGAACACCAGAGAGCAAAATAACTCTCCAATGTTCGGTTCCGTTTTCCTTAAATTGTAATATAAACTCCCACTGTGAAGGAGTGGCGAACTAGGGTAAAATCCACTCGAACCCACTGCAAAATAACATAGTAGGTGCGACTTCTTGTTTCCCAGTCGACAGCATCTCCAAAGACTATGACATTACCCCATGACCGATAAACCTCATCTCATGCACTGCCAGAACATCTTGCCTGTGCCAATTCAGTGTAGAGAAATTGCCGAAAAGCTGAGCGTCTTTTTGTCCACTATGCGTTAGTTCATGAGGCTTCACTCATCTACATGTAGCTTATCGTGATATTGCTGGTAGGGTGTGTTGTTTCCGTGTGATCACGGAGGAACGGTAAACAAAAACAGCACAGTATAAACGTAATATACTATTCACAAGGTTGCTGAAAACTCTTGGACAGCTCCCAATCGGTTTCGCCCTTCTTGGAACTTATCAGAAAGGCGCAGTGTTCGAGTTTACCAGATTGCCAACCAATTTAATTTTGCGGGAGATTTACCTGGAACTCAGTTGAGTCTCCCGTTTATGATGGGCTTGAAACTAGCTTGCGATTAAAGTGTAATCACCTTGGTGGTTACAAATATTTCGAACACTGGTGAAATTAAAATCCGTTTTTTCATTCGCAGAATTCTGTAATGGTATTCCTATTTTTGTTCGTATGTCGAGATTAGCAACGTGGGAAAACATAAACGGGATTATATTTGACTTTGAAGAATCGAGGCAGTTCATTCACCCAATAAGACATACGTAATAACTATAATTTTTGGAGCATATTTCCAACTAAGTCAACTGTACAATAGTGTTAACCTCCATATTACTGCTTCTGTATACTTTCCATTTGTGAATTTCTTCAAGTTAAACAATTTGGTGATCAACCTAGGTTGCACAGTGAGCGAGCAGTAGTCGACATCGGCACGAATGACTCTACCATGACCAATAATATCTGCTGTACTCTATTCGTCTTAAAAGCCACTTTCCGTGTATCATTCGGACTGTCATCCTGGTTTGGAAAATCAAACTCTTTGCAACAGCGTAAAGCAGTCGGAGCCACCAGCGCTAACCAACAATACGTAACCCTATACCAGACAACGTGTGAGATTTTCACATTTCCCACCATAAGTCCGAGGTACTTTGTTACACTTTCGCAGTGCAATGAGACAGGCTTATTACATAGAAGCCTGAAAATGGTCTATTTCAGTTGTTGGCACAGAATACTTCACTTGTTCCAGTCGGCCTTCGGTATATATGTAGAGTTCTTGTGGAAAAGCTGAAGATACAAGACCAAGGGCAGTCGAGAAGAATTACAGTTTTGGAGAACCGAAGTTGGACGAGCAATTTGAAGAACTGGACCACATAAGGGGCGTTCGTAAGTTTTGACAGCTAACATACGTATATTCCAGGGGATTTCGCGTTTGCCAAGCAGTCGGCACTTTTCGCCACAGACTGGAACGGTTTTACCATTTCAGTGAGTCTGGAGCGACATTGTATCACCAACATCTTTTGGGAAACTGACGGTAGTGGTTCTCATTGAAAACTAGCAGTGGCTTCACAGGTTGACGTTTATGTGCCAGTTAATGTGATTTCGTGAATTCCGACTGGACTGTCTAATAACACATCTAATATACCTACTAACATATCTACATATCTACTACTACCGACATATCTGGCAATGCAAACAATAAGAACCAGGCAGCAGAGGACCGGACCGAAAAAGCGTGAAAACGGGTTAGTTCGGATTAAGGTGAAGGAAGTCTTAAGTTTTTGGATCACCTAGTTGACCTTGTGTCGCAAAACGTAAAAGCGGGAAGATGTTTTGAATTATGTAGACTATCTGAGAGTGAGATTGGAATGACTTTGGTTTAAATTTTCATGCGTTTGTTTTTGCAACGGTCTGTCTGAGCGGAAAATCCGGGTACTGAGTCTCTGATAGCAACAAACTCCGTCCTCCGAAGAATTTCTCGACCAAAATGCCAGAATGAGTTTAGTTTCCCAGTACATAAATAAAATCAAAAAGTCCATTATGCTAATCAAGACCACAAAATCCACAAACAGCCTTAGACAATTAGAATATAAAACCTCAACGAAGCAACTTCCTGTTGAATCACCTTCTGTTGTGTTTCTTTACAATCGCGCTCCCTCATAAAAGCAGTCAATAGTGGACTTTGATTTACTTGGTGACTACGGTACACTACTTATTTTTCTGGCGGACGGTCCAAAGTATGCTACTACGTGCCGGTCCAGAGGACCCAAAAACGTAACTGAAAGACGGTCAGTGCAGTTCATTCGTACTGTGTCGGATATCGGCGTCCTTCTCCTGGAACTAGTTTCTATCGCCTCTTTGCCCTAAGCATTCTGCTGGTACCTGAATTTCAGTCACCGGCGGTCATTTTTGTAGCCCGAGAACCCATCGCTGCTCTTCACACAGGTTGAAGTCTACCCTATGCTAATCTTTCTTGAGTGTCAGTTTGCATGCTAATCTGACTCAGAGTGAGCTTACATAAAACGGTGGATTATGTTCTGGACTGTGCGCTTTTCTGTGTATTCGTGGGGGGGGGGAAGAGGGAAACGTTATCACCACGATGGCTCGACTGGTCACACCACGGACCTCAGACCTTGTGAGGGAACTTCACCTAGGAACAATTCCATCATCATCAGCTTTACCCACGAGGTATGCGAAGGACGAACGTCACTTGCGTGAAGTGTAGACCGGTTGAGCGATATCTGTCTCCCATAGCGACAAACGATAAAACTCCGGTCAAAGTTGTCCGCAACTGGTCTTGGTTGAATACATTATTGGAAAACCGGTAGGGGTCTTGCCGACAGAATTAATGATAACCTAATAAAGAGGGAAGGCAGCTTCGAAATTTGTTAGGGACACATTCAGTGGTCTTCCGGTTAAATTGAATTATCCGGAAAATGGACGATAAATGACTATTTTGTTCGATTTGATGTGTCATGACTCACAGATTGATCTTTAACGCAAAAGCACGAAAGCGAAAAAGCTGCACCCTCAGAACTTTTGCTACGAATGGAGGTAATGTCTAACCAGAAATTACAATGAATGGCTGACTGATGTAAGGAATCCTAGTCCTTTGTTTTGTTAACTACTCCACCAGATTAGGGAACTACCCCCGGAAACGCATCGGTAATTACACTGTTGATTCATTCTGTGCATCAGATTAATGCAAGCGCGCAGTGTCTGCTCCTTCAATTTCATTCTTTTGATGCCTTCAGATATGGAATGACATGGAGTCATGGGAGGAGGGACAAACTTTGAAGTTGCTCTGGATATTTTTACACATACCATCCTGGTTCTGCTATTTCAAAGCAAGCTACAATGATCCAGGTTTCATTCCGACTGAAACGAACGATTATCAGACGGTGCTCAGAATGGTGAGTGCGTCTTTTTGGAAAATCTCTCACATCCCCATGTTTTTGTGCGATTTGGAAAGTCGCTTCTACCACCGGCTGATTGAGTGATCAACTCAGTGGTTGAATACACAATTGAATGAGTAAGTGAATAAACGAATGAGTGAGTGGCTTCGGTACCAATGGGCTATTCGTTGGACTGAGCTGTTTCCTAAGTAACTGACCCTCTGGATGACTGGCCCACTCACAGAGGGCGGTTTTTCAAGTTCCGACAAGAAAACGAGCAAACTTTCACGTTCTAGCACATTCTAGCAGACACTGGATGAATCTGGGATTGGAAGAGCTGGCCGTATGTGTAAAGACCCTATAATTCAGCGGCGAAGTTTACATACATGCATCTCAAAGATCAGGTATTTTTCAGAGAATTATGAGTTTTTCTCACGGATTCCTTTCAGTCAATTGTTTTTTAGAGTTCTTGTTAGAGTTTGTTTGAGGTCATGGTTTTTAGTTTACTCTACCGTAATTCCGTTTTCAACGATTTACTACAAAAACTATCCTGGCTCCATTCCTGCAGCTCTTCAATGCTATGCATAAGCGAAGTTAAAACAACGGACAGGGTATACGCTTTCTAGATTTTGGCGGATAGAATGACAAGTGATAACGCAGTAGGCAGCAGGCATACTTAAAAATTCCAACTTAAGCTGTCAGATGACCTCTCTACATTTCAGAGCTTCACATGCTTGCCGTGCTTCTCTGAACATTGCCCCTTATTGAGACCAGAAACTCTCCCGACAGATGATATTGATATCAGTGAAGAACTTCGAGATGTAGCTATGGCGATTGCAGCAAGGTGTGTATCAAGAAATGGGAATGACAGCCTACTTAGTGTTCGGGCAACGTAGTTAAGACCAACTTTATCGTTATGGGGAGATACTGAGAAGGCAGCTGTTCTCTTCGTGGTTGTTTTTTCGTCGTGCTGCGTTACAACAAAGACATATGGTTGTTGGTCTGTTCGCCGAGCTTGGCAGTTAGATTGCCAACGTTTTATCACCAAGTAAGATGATATCGTCAGTGCAGGGTTGACGAAGTCACCTCGATAGGTGATGAAACGTTTGCAATCCAACTGCCAAGCTGGCGAACAGAGTTCGCCGAGCTTGGCAGTTAGATTGCCAACGTTTTATCACCAAGTAAGATGATATCGTCAGTGCAGGGTTGACGAAGTCACCTCGATAGGTGATGAAACGTTTGCAATCCAACTGCCAAGCTCGGCGAACAGACCAACAACCAAGCAGGGCATCCGTGCTACCTACATTCCACAACATTGCCACGAAGTACCAGCTTTATAATGGTAACTAATGTGCAGACATCTTTGAAGTCACTCGAAGGACTTTATTCTCGATTTCAAGTCACCAGTATGTACATTGGGCGTTTGATGCTCTATAGCTACGCGACTTCCTACGCAGTGTTCCTGTTTGATAAGTTTGCCATAGAAACTGCTAATATCGACCATCGTCATCATCGACCTCTTGTCAATAGGAATGTCTGTCTGAAATGCTAAAAAGTTCCAGATCAAAGAAGCGTGAAACTGGTCGAATCCTGTTGCACACAAATTCTTGATGTGCTTGGTTTTATCGATTTGTCAATCCATTCGACGTTGAGTAAAAACCACTGCGAATTTCGAGTTAGTTACAGTGCATTACAAAACCGACTCTCAATTGCCGCTCCATATGAATGGGAAGATGCACGGTAACACCTGTTCCGTAATTTTGGTTCAGTTTCACAACCGCCACTGCTTGTGCTATATCAGCATTTCGGCTACCTCGTCCAACCATCGAGTACATCGGACGTTCCCGATGCCAACCATTGTATTTTCGAGTTGTTGACTTATTCTGAGTTACACGATCGCAGACTCACACTCAACCGTATGCCAGAGTAGAGTATTCGACCATGATGGCAGATAACCCTGGTCGTGTATGAACTACCGGTGTTTCCCAGGAAAACCAAGTTAGCTGGAAATTGAATCTTGGGTTCACAGTATAGTGGAAAAAAGAAACTCAAAGGATTCAAACAACTTGAGGCTTTTTGGAGAGAGTTGAAGCGGTTTTTCACAGTGATTTAGTTCTTTTGGACGCTATCTAAAATCTACAGTTTTTTTGGAAAATCGTTCAGCTGTAACACACTTCTGGTGTCTAGCTGCCTTGCCACCTGAAGGAGATGCGAGGGCTGGGATACTGCCAGGTTATCCAAGCCTGGAGACAGAAGAAATGGAAATGCAGGAGTCGAGTTAGAACCGCGGACCTTCCAGTCAGTAAATTCTCGCTCTAACCGCTGAACCATTTATCCTTCCTACAATCTATACTAGGCTTACAAAAATAATCCTAAGTTAAGAAAGAACTTATTTGTAGAGAAAAATTTTTGCAGAACTACATGAGCTGATCGGATGTGAATAGGGCCCCTAAATGGGGGAGAATATAGCTGGTTTGTTAACTGACTGAATGTTCCGTCAGTGAAACTAATCAGAAAAATTTTAGCCGCCATAATTTTCGATGTTTTAGTCATGCTATACTCGACTCCGGGTCAGTCCACATTTAGCAGCAGGGCGAGGAGATAAAGACCGACTGCTGGACACGGAAGAACTGGCGAGGATTAAACGTTCCCTGGCTTCGCTGTGCCACACTTGTCAGTGTGTCAAGCCACTTCGATCGAAACATTGTGCGGTTTGTGACCGTTGCGTGAAGCTGTTTGATCATCATTGTCCTTTAACTGACCATTGTGTGGGTGCAAAAAACCAGTGAGTTTTCCAATTGGTCTCTCATTCCTTTGAACTGGATATCCATTCCACATAATCGTAACCACCACTTTCAGGAAAAGTAAGCTGGTGATCATTGAAAGCGAGATTTTATGTCTTATGTGTACTAATGGATGTTGTAACTTTACGGCCGCACAAATTCATCAGTCATTGAAAATACAGGAAGGATTTTACCCCGCTTCTACTTCCACGGTTTCAACTTCAAAGGATTTCCTTCAGCCTCGCACAGTACTTGAATTAGGGGAGTTGACGCAGTTACGCCTACACAAACGGCTTAATAGGGAGTTGTTATGGCTTTGTTATTTGCCACTGCTGAGGAGCAGGTGATCGAATCTACTGTATCTGTAGGAGGAAAACTCTCTGAGAGCTCCAACTGCCATAGTAATAGAGTGTAGGAGAGCTTATCGCAATGCATTGTAAACAATGTCTGGTATTATGAACTTGTTGTACTCTTCGTGGAGAGATCAAAATGGATTGGCTACACCTCAGCTGGAATCCTTTGGAGTATATTTAATGGCTTCTCAAGCCTGGTAAGGTTATCAGCTCTCACACCATCCATCCAACAGTCGCATCAAGTTTGCCACTTCCAAGTTCTCAGTAAGATAAGTTTCTATGAGGCTAAAGGCAAGCGACCCAAATTCATTGCCAGTTCATCTGCTGAGAGCGAATGAAAGCTGCTAGATGACATGCGTTACCGCCCCAGTGTATCAGTTGTAATTCAGCCATTTACACCGTCAACACGACTGCCAAAGGAGATTTTCATGCTGATGTTGTGACCACGTGATCAATCAACCGAATTACCTCGGCTCATTCGGACTACATGCGACTTTCAGCAGACGTCCAATACCTGGATACGCATTGCATAGTTGAAAGTAATTTACACTGATGCCATCCGAAAGGATTATTAGGAAAGTAAACTACGCAAAAGGGAGTGGTCAAACCAAATTATTGTTAAAAGCAAGGAAAATGTGGTGATGCACCCGATTTCACAGTTTTTTGCTGGATAGTTACACTTGAGTAGGCTACCACGACAAGATGAATGGGCTGGTAGAACATCACCCCGTCCCAACATTCTGCCGTTAGTTTTGCATTTAATATGACCCAGTTGTTCATCAGTAGTCATTCTCGATCAAAATATTTTAAAATTGACGTGATAGTGCCAATACAAAGAAAGTTTTTAAGCATCAAGTCGATGGAGGGTTCGTAAATGATGTTCTCATTGCTGGATGGGAATTTCGGGTCATGAAAGCATGAAGCAGTACTAAAGATTACCGGTACATCCTGGGGTCCTAGTGGTCGAAAATGGTAGCCGCAGTGCATGGAACCGCTGTAATCTTTGGACTTCACATTCGCGCTGACCAAAAGCAGCAAAAACGAAGTTGTTTCTAACGTTGACCTCAGCTGTATGCTATTATACAATATCTGTCCACTTACGCGAACCAGTACTCCATGGTTGACTTTACCACTAATTTATGCTCTGATAAATGATGCATTGTGTGGCAAATTTAACAGTCTATGGATAGTCGACTTGTTACAATCAGTTGCATTTGGCTGCATTACCTTTGCCGCACCGGAAGAACACCTGATAGAACGCCGACCAGGCTCGATCATATCATATTTATCAGTACATAATACCCAATTGGGAATGTTCACTTGTATACTGTGTGGCTGTGATATGCATTCGGAAGGATGAGGCAACAGTTTTCTATTCACAGTCTCTATTCTATTTCGCTGCTCAAGTTCCAGAGAGTGCTCTCACACACTAGGAGACTTGCAAGTTTTAGACGATAGTGCTCAAGGTATCATCATCATCGACCGCACAAAAGCAGCGTTCAACACAATCGAGGTTCGAAGCCGTTCAACCGTAATGTATTTAAGAGCACAACACAATGGAAGTTTCGGTGGTGGACAGATTGTTAGACTGAAGTCCCTGTTGCATAAGCGAACACTCGTTTCTTGGTTGTCTCGTTTTGAATTCATTAGTATGGGACTGCACAACCTATGGTTCTGAGGCAACGGTTGTCAAAGGCCTGAAGACGTCTCATTTCGAAGGGGCAACATTTATAGGTACAAGGCTTCTCTTTTGCACTCCGTTAACGCCTTCGCTATGAGACGTCATGCGGGGGGAAAGTCTGGAATTTCCCCTATGAGTAAAAAAACAGTTTTGTCATCTTTCCTACTCTGTAACCAAGCTTTCGACTCCAGCTCGGTTAACGATGGGGCATATTATTTTAAGCAATGCTTCAAAATATTTGCATCATATCCTACTCAGGTGTTACGTATAGGAACTGGACTGTTACTCCTTATTGAATACTGTGTCCAGCATCAGAAGCTGCGTTGGTCGGGACATGTGTTGCATATGTCAAACCATCGTTTGACGAAGAGAGTGCTGCTTCCCATGCCCAATTCAGAGTGGCGTAAACAGATAGGTGGCCAACCCTTGGCTTGGCAAAGGAGTATGAAGGAGATCACGAAACGCTTGGGTGCTGTCTGTGCTACTCGCCTTCCAGGATGGGGACCGCGTGACCCTCAGTGTGCCTGGTTGGAGGTACTACAACTTAAGGCTGTCAACCGATGTCAGGGGCGTTCTTGTTGTCAGTTTCTATCCAGATTGCCTGAGTGGATGTCTGGAGGTATAGGCACCTCGGAATGATTGCTGAAAGCTAGTACTGAGTCCCTTCTCCGTTCACCTTTACTCTTTTCTTTACAGTAAGGCTTCCAAATAAATTATGATTGTACGGCAGTGAAGCATCGGTGTTGAAGATGTCATGCCGTCGATGATGACGATGATGATTCTCCAGTTCTTCGCTGATTCGTGCGCTAGCTGGCATTCAGCGGTATTGTATTGTCTAAGTTGCCGATAAAAGTCACTACACAACGAACTTGTATGAGCTAAAATTAAACCTAATAGAGATCCAAAGGTTTTCTCTAGAAATCACATTGGGAAAATGTCTGGGTTAGAAGTATAACCAACCGGGCGAATGTCACACTACTCTTCTTATGGGGTAGGCTCGACTGCAGCGTCAGTGTTTCTGTCATGTGGACTCATTTGTTGACTGATTTTGTGAATGTAAGTTTTAGATATGGATTCTCCCTATAACTGAATTTAGCTTATTTGGAGAGCTGATTCTTCATGCTAGGCCGGTATCAGAGCAGACCTTGTTTCATCCTGCTGACCGCGTAATTCCTTCAGGCTAATTGAGCATCGGTTCCAACAGAGGTTGAATTTGCTTGCCGTAAAGTAGTGCCTTAGTAAGCTGCGGGATAATAGCCACTACCACGCAGATGATCTGACTTTGCCTAGCCACCAAGTACAAGGAATTGGATTGCCTTGATGGTAAATCCTTCCTTACATGAAGAGGTTAGGTGCTCGCATGCACTGTTTTCAGCTGTATTCTTCTAGAGTATCAAAGATGTTATATGCTTTCGGATTTATGGGAACCCCAAATGGCCAAATTTTTGCATACACCAACCAGACCTTTCAGTGCTTAACCAAAATCCATTAAAACATTACAGCATCTGGTTCTTCGGTTTGTGCGCATTCACGTCATCGCTCTCCACCATATTCGTCTACTTGCTTTGGACACAAAGCACATCCCCCGAAATTTCCTGGGGATGGTCTGCAGTCTGCAAAATTGTTTTGTTTGCAGTCTGGCTGTGTTCCACTGGAACCTTCATCAATGTGGTGAGTAAACTTGATTGTGATGTCTTACTGTACCTGGCTTTTGTTTAATCAGGTAATTCAGATGCTTCGTGCTTTTTGTCCGAAAAGATCCTCTTCATCTGTGGGTTTTAGTGTCCAAAATATGTCTTCTTCAGATACCAAATTAGATTTTATAATTAGCTTTTATTATTACACATTGATAAATCTCAAGCAAACTGCCTTGCTAACAGCCAACATTTCATAACATCATTTGCTCGGCACTGGTAAGCGAACATAGAAAGGTTCGCAGGCATCACTCTTTAACTGTTCACATGATGGAATCTTTTGACATCGGTAGCGTCATTGGATATGTTTGAAACACCACGGTTTGGTGTGTTTTGTCGGTTCTTTTGATCAATCTAACATCAGAGAATTGGGGATCAGCAAAACCACAGCACGGATCCCAGTACTTTCTAAAGTAGGATTCATGTTTGTGAAGCACGATATCTGAACATTCAAAAGTTACTACTTCCAAGTCACCAGTAGCACGGGATGTGGTTGATTCCCAGATGGCTTAATAAAAAGATTATCTTCAACCCATATTGTGGCTAAGCATGTGGACAAGAATGGATTGGTCATGTGATCATTTGATGTCGGCCTTCTTTGCGAGCCTGGTAATCATCAAATTTTGCACCTAAAATTAGACTCCATGAAATTCAAGAATGGTCGGAGGACCACGAGTGGTATTTCTTCACAGTTTTTAATCCTAGTAATCGATCTGGATGATGTACCTGTTAATCAGATTTGAATATGTCAGTTCAAAAGGGAACGTTAGCAGTTTTGGTTGTATAGATGGTTGTTGTGCTGTTTGCTGAGCTGAGCAAGTTACAAACGTTTCTCCACCAAAGGAATTAACGTCAGTGCGTAGTGGGATAGTGGTGTGTCTAAGTGCATCGGGGTGTAGGTGCCAAACAGAGCTATGCTTGCGTTTACAGGAGCTTTGTTGATTCTGAGGAGTTGGCGTACGAGTATGGCTGGTCGTTTGGATTCTCAGCCCATTTGTTTGAAACCGACTGACTGAACCAATGGACTAATCAAGTGACAGCAATAACAAGCGTGTAACCACTACCTCGAAAGTCACCAGGACTGACTCAAACTCAAAGGTCATCCGGACACTGACCAATCAGGGCGCAAGTCAGCCATAGTTCAGTACTCTTTAGGGACACTGCAAGTATCAGGTGACCTACTCTATTCGGATCCTCTAAATACAACACATCTCACCTCGACAAATTATGGTCCTGCAATCCGATAGCCTTCGAATCTTTTGTCAGGATCACTAGTTTTTTTACGGTGACAAAATGACTACTCATGGACAATAAAGTTGCAGGCTACTCTGTCGAATTTAGTTTCAAGATTTTCAAGGTTTCAGGTTTCAAGATTTTCTAATTACTTTAAAGTGTGATTTGCTTTATTCTTTATCGTAATTGTTACTCAGTGATGTGCTTGTATTATGTTAGTCTGTCACATCTTGTCTTCAACGGGTTCCAGGCAGACTTGGTGCGCTGGGGCGTCACTTACTCGGTAAATAGAAGGAAGGCATGGCCATCCTAAAGCTCATGAACAAAGAAGTCATTCTGTTACATTCAAACCAGGATTATAATGCACAACAATGAGTAACAGTGGCACCATATCGGGGCAACTCTACAACACCCTCGACCTGACTTAGACTAGCTACAGTGCAATTAAAGCAAACCACGAGACAGTACTCAGGTGGTCAGTGTTGATCGAGTTGACATGTGCCACTGACAGACAACTGCTTTGTGATACATACTAAATTAATACCATATTACCATGTTGGATGACTTAGTCCACACGTTCTAAATTGAAATATTTCTGTTGTGAGACGTTTGGAAGTATTTTTGTTGATCTAACTCCTCCTATTTCCTCCTGTTCCAACAAAATCGATAGAATCTGCATCTGAAGCATATATCCGACTGGGATCTACAACACCGGGCTTTGAAATAGGTTATCTGATATCAGAGGACATTTTTTGGTAAAACAACCGACATGAAGTTCGGAAGTGCTTTGAAGGAAATTTATTTGAATAACCATCATTTGCTTTCTCCAAGCGAACTGTGTGAAAGGCAAGTTAACATGGTCCAGAACCATGAATACTGCCCAAAAGGCGAAACAGTATCAAGTCTTTTGGACGGAATCAAATATATTTTAATGAAAAGGAAACATAGTCCTCTTAGGGGGGATGAAATTTATATCGTAATGAAGTTTACCGCAGAGAGACACTGAAAAGGTCACTTGGTAGTGTGAAGAGATTTGGGATTTGCCATAAAGATTTCATCTCGAAAGTGAAGGAAATTTTGCTAAAAACGGAGAATCACAGTACAGTGTTTCATCCTCACTAAGAATCGTCAGCAGTGCGTATCTCACGAAACTTCAGAGGCGTCGATTTTGCTAAAAACGGAGAATCACAGTACAGTGTTTCATCCTCACTAAGAATCGTCAGCAGTGCGTATCTCACGAAACTTCAGGAGGTGTCGAACCTATGACCTTCCGGCTAGAAGTTTGAACAGCTCAGCGTTCGACCAGGTATGGTTAAAATGCTAACATCCCTTATCAAGACGAACTTAGCGTCTAGCGCTTCATGACATACCCGGGCACCCTACTGTGTCCAACCTACTTTTCCTAAAAGTGAACCGTCGAGCGTCTGTCTCGGTGTGACAATATTTGCCCTCTCTCCTCGCCTTGTGGACTGGGCTCAGGTTGTTTTCTAAAAAACCTGACACGCTTTTCTATGATGAGCCATCTATTGGTATGTACACTTTTCTTTATGGCACTGTTTTTCCATTCTAAGCGCGCATTATAAAAGCACTTTAAACTTCACAAGGCAAATCACGGTAAGCAATAGTGTTCATTATATCTTGCTCGAAGGAAGAAATCTTTGGAAGCCCACATATATTTTTCCAAAGTCTACAAAACCCAAACTTATCAAAAGTTGACGAAAGTCTTTAAGCATTCTGAAAAGTAAGTCACCCTCACTTTTAGGAAACTGTACGTAGGCGCTAAACAAGACATGGTTGGAAATGGTTGGACATGGCTGGAAACATCAAAATCAAGAGATTTAGCTGGGTTTCAGGTTAGTCTCGAAAAACTAAATTGGTTTGCAAATGAGTGTATTTGGCTAATTTTGTGCACTTAGGTTTCAAGTAGAACGTAAGGTTGACGGAAACTCGGGGACGGCGCCTACCTGATGAGCCCCAAGAAGGGCAAAACCGGCCGTGGGCTGTCGACGGATTTTCAGCAACCTTATGAGTAGTGCATTACATAAATGGTTGGTAGTTCTTGGGCGAAAAAGCATTGCTATAGAACTTAAATCGCATTTTCTGAAGCGCGTATTCTGCGAACGTGTGGAGTACTTCGCTAACTTCATCCTGTTCCAAGTTATCACAGAAATCTTTGAATATCGCTCGGCTTCCTTAGCTTGTGTTACTGGCCACTTCCTATTATGCAGACACAAGTGCACGTGTACGTGGACATACCCACAGAGAAAGTGTGTTGATTTTTGTTTCAGATACACGCTGCCACAAGGAATTTGACAACAAACGAAACTATAAACTATGAGAGATATTCCTATCTTCACCGAAAGGCTAACGGGAGTTTCCGAAACCCATTTGATCGCGGCCCAATTATGAATGTATTGGAATATTTTGGGTTTCGACCACCAGTGGATCCGAACTGCCTGGATTTGGCTCCTTCCAGCCCTCAAAGCATGGAAGTCTGAAAAGTAAAGAGCGTGAACCGTCTCTTCAGGATAACCAGAAGGTGCGAGTGTTTTCCAACTGGATAACAGCACAGTCAAATGGAGATCACACGTAAAAAACGAAAACGTCGGAAACTCTCGTACCATGTTGTTAGCTCTAAACATACCGTTTAAATGCAACGATGCCTCTTCCTTCTCCAATGTGACATGGTAAAGGGCACAAGTTCGAATCGTGTGGCGCTTGCAAAGGATGCAATTTCCACATGCTGATGTGATATGATACACGGTTGATAGGCACCTGGAGAGAAGTTAGAATTACCTGTTTCTCTATTTAAAATGAGGACACATGGAAATAGTGATTCTCACCTAGGGGACAGCAACTGATCTTGGGTACAAAGACTGCTTACATGTAGTAGTCTATGTCTTTATCTTGAGGTTCTCCTTCTAAGAAGAGGGTGTCCAAATTCTGTCGACGGAAAAAGACATGGGAAACTCAAGAACAGTCCTGATAGAAGTATGTACATCGTTAAACTACCCTTATAAGACGAATGACTGTATACGTAAATATTTTGTGGTGAGGATGATAAAAGAGCACCTGGAAAAAATAGGATTTTTTATATTCATATTCGAATTTTAATTTGATTAATCTTACAGTGACTGATTTTCAAGTCAAACTTTTATTGCGTAGTTTATCAGAGGGTGTTTCAAGTATTTTAAACGAAAGATGTGTTTAGGCTTCTGTAAAGGACACGTACAGTTGTCCTGTTGGAAGGTCCTACAGAAGTCGCCTTATCCCGTGATGGGATCTATTAGGTTCAAAATAGGGATTTGTCCCAACAAACTAAATAAAAGTGACCGCTAGAGGGCGCAAGTCTAGCTCGATGGTCGCCTTCCTAGGAGACTTATCAATTCAACCGAAAAATCGTATAAGTTACAGCCTTAGTCTAACTTCTCTAGTTTTCGGTGCCAGTCACAAAACATCTCAGACTTCCGTCCACAAAGCATTTCCCATGGCAACAGCGGACAAGAAATCTGACAGCAATCCACTTTTTCAATGTAAACCTATAGGTAAAGAAGTGGCGTTGCTGTTAGCAATAATGCAACGGCACGCAACACCATGATGCACAATAGGCAGGCAAAACTATGTATAGTAGGCAGGTTGTTTCCGAAATTTTAGTCCATTGTCTAGCACGCCATTCACAATACTGGAGGCAGTCTCCTAACATATCCCTGTTTTGACGAGTTCTGTGCTCTACTGATAGTGGTAGCCGTTGAAAAATAACGGAATGGTGGTTTCAACAAGTACTCGGAAGAGACCCGTATTTAGTGTGTATTTTCCCGGGACCAGACGCAAAATTTAAGTTGCAACTTATTTCCAGAAAAACTAAGATAGTTTCGATGCACAAGAATGAGTCCTATTTCAGAACTGTAGACAAATTTTCCGTGAATGATGATTTTCACTCGCATAAGGTTGGATCAAACACAACCAATGAACCTCCATCAGCCAGGTGACGGGAACGTAAACTGCTTGAAATTTCAGCAGCATTTTCCAGAGGAACTGGTGTTCTTTCGAAATTATGTGTGGAACATTGTACGTGCTCTTTGATTACATATATTTGCTCAACGACTACAAATCGCTTAGGCTTTTCGGATCTCATATGCATCCCGTTCGCTTTCATGATTGTATAAAATTTTGCATTGGCGAGATTTGAAAGTCGTGCAGTCTTCTTCAGGGAACAGCATTGCAATTCCTTCTACACAGGCCGTGATACGGCATTCCAAAAAGTGACAGTGGGTCTAGCTCTTGAGGGGACCAATTTCGTAATCTCAGTTCAATCGACAAATTCCCAATGATGGTGATGGTGGTGTGAAGAGATGTGGTAATTTTCAATAGACATTTCATCTTGTCAGTGAAGCTAGTTTATGCTGGACGTCCAAAGAACAATGTACATCTGTTAAATCCTTGTTTGGAATTATCAGCAGTGTGCATCTAACAAAACGCGGGCAGTTTCGAATCCGTGATCTCTCGGCTAATGGTTGAACACTTAACTCTTTGGTGACGAGCGGCCTATTCAGCAGTGTGATTAGCTCTCGTCTTTCTATTGATTACTCCCCCAGCCTGGAGAGGTCGTTCGAGTAGACTGAGGGAAACAGTTTATAGTAAGAGAGGTTTCTTCCAGCGTTTGCCACTGGAGTGTGCTTAAAACAGCATTAAAGGTGACCTCTTCTGAGTTCGACTTGTTAACGGAGCCAATGTCTTTGTCAACTCACCTTGGTCTATCACTGATATTAGCCTGCAAACCAAGACTAAGAATACCCATACGGAACATACCATACTTGACAGATAAAACGCTTCTGTTTGTTTTCTCTGACACATTATCTGTTGTTTTGTCTGTAACAGCGGTAAATTCGTTCGAAGTGAACGGGATTGGGGGCACCTAACCTTTTGATTGTTGAATCCGTCGAAGGTCGCTAGTCGATTAAACAGTTTAGTTATTCCGTAGACAGTCCATCATCACATCAGAACATGGGTGTTCACTTTTGTACGAATAGTAGAATCTTTTTCCGCCTTTGACGACTTTGGCCTTGTCCAGCAATGATAGGGGTGGATGGAATCAATGTGCTCATAGGAAAGCCCTCCTTAAAATTGTGAACATGAACATCACTGAAAATTCGAATGTACGAGAAACCAAAATTCGATATAACGAATATTTCTGGAATCACTCTGTTTGCGGCAAAGCACTCAATCGTGTGCGCCGCTGGGACTTCGTTCGCGCTGAGTCCTCCCGGCATATACAGAAGATGGATTTACAACGAAACGTGCACCCGGCAGTTACAACAGAATCGTGGAGCGGTGTAGAGAAATATATGAACAAACGAACTGGACTGTCATGGAATGATACATAGAACAGATGAAAGTTGGCATTCCGTCCAGTTAGAGAAGCAGATGAATTTATTATAGAAGAGTGATTCATGATTGATGCACAAAGTGTATCGCAGGTCTACTAAGATCACCACCTGATTGTGCAAGACACCTTGATCATGAGGGTAATGCAAGAGCCGTAGAATTTATGCATGGACGATTTTACCATTTCTTGCCTCGATCTCAGACAATGATGTTTCGGGTTCCTTCGATATATCTTGTTTTATTCTGTGGTCTTCAGTTATCACCTGTGATTAGGAACAACCGGTTATTGATCTGAATGCCTTACCCATCGCAGTGGACCTGCATGTTGCTGGAATGAACCAAAAGCAATAAGCAGTCTGTGTGTTCAGATGGTCTTGGGAAAGAGGCATGAAGCAGTGTATGACAACTCGCGAAGCACTGCCTACTCGCTCTTCTAGAAGTCTTGCCAGCATACGTTTGGCAAAATAAAGAGTTGAACTGAAGTCATAAAAGGAATATGGCACCAGCCTTAGCCTTTAAAAACTACGAATTTAGTGAGAACAATGGGAAAGCGATGTCTAGTCGGTCAGGCGTTAATATGTCCCACATGTCACATGATCTAGACAATGGTCCTCGTAGAAAACTACACACAAGGGACTTAGTGTATTGGTCTCGAGAAAAAAATTTTGTAGCACTTGTCCAACTATCAATCTTCCTGCCATATACACAGTGCCTGAAAAAGCAAGAGGATATTGGTTGTGCTGAACATTCAGGCGAGAGTTCTCTTTGTATAAGCTACCGATAGTACTACAAATCATCCTCATCATCATCATTGTCAGCTGTAATAACCGCGTACTCGTCGTACTGTGGTTGTAGCTGCCGCAGTTTCGTTCACCGATGTTTTGGGGGGAGGGGTAGGTAGCTGCGCGTTGCAGGCGGGAGCTGACAAATTGGTGCATAAATCTAGCACTGTCAGTGGGCTGTCAAGTGGTGAGGGGGTTGAAAAAGGAGCTTTGCATTAAAGGCAATAGCTTGGTTGCACGAGCGCCATTGAGGGCGAGACTGGGCCATATCTGACAATGTCTCTAGCCATTGATGTGGCCCGTCTGGGGTCCCCATCCAGGAAGACGGCAGTGACCAGCGCAGCTAAGTTTACAAATCAATATTTATATGCTCAATACACTATCGTACAAGCCGCACTCGTGCGTCTGATCGACATCAAACACCCCGAACTGATTACCAGTGGCAATGTGAGCACCAATAGAAGAATACGGACGAGGCAGTGACGATCAGTAATTTTTCAACACTAAAAAATCAACATTTTCTGAAAAGGAAAAGCCTTTCAGAATATTTATCAGCAAAAGTTCCCGAGAAATTTGCAGAAACGATGCTGTAGATACTGCGCTGTGGACAAATGAGTGAACAGCCATTAACAAAAGGCGCGTAAAATAATGCAAGAGATGCACAACGCGTAAGAAAATCTACGCACTCAATGAAGAAAAACCCAGGACAAGAAAAACGCCCGTTTACTCTTTGGGAGTGGTTTCCTTCTAAGGAAAAACTATATCCCACTTCAATTGTGGTTCTGGACCCGATTTACTGGCATTTGTCCGAAAAGCTACTTTGTATCAACAGTTTGGCACTGGAACCAGCCATCTGGTTTTGAACTGAGCAATGCCATGGCCATAAGATGAAAACCAGATGAAATGGCCACATGATTTTTTAGTTCACCCCAGAATGTTCATCGCTGCAGCATAAACTTACCGATAGTTCTGTCTCGTCAATTCACCGGACGAAAAACCAAGGCATAAATGTATTTTGCAAGTCAGCTGTCTTCTTCTCTGTGAATTTAGTTACTCAACTCTAAAAACCATAGGGTTTGCTCTTGAGCTTAGTTGAACCCTGCAGTTCTGCTTCACCTGTATACTGACCTGTGTGCGAGTGGTCATACCAGATATTAGGTGAAAATGTATAAACCGCACGCGTTAATGTATTCTTGTATGCTCATCGAAGTGAGGTGATGCGGTACAAGCAATTGCTAGACATGAATGCTAGGAGGAAAGGCGCCCGAAACGAAGTTACCTGCATAATTAGGCTAGCCAACAGCTGATTGGTATGCGAGACATTTTTTGTGACTGCGTGGGGTACTAGGGAGAATTATCAACAGTCACGTGTTCATGAACTAACCAAGGTCTCTTTCATCCGGATTTAAAAAGCCTGCAGTCCATTCACCAACTGCGATATGTTTTCGCTATCATCCACAGATTCGATGAGA